AGCAGAGAGTGGGACCCTATCCAGAGAAGCAGTGATGCCTGAGATGGAGGCAGAGACAATGACATGGAGAGATGGAGCAGCTGGGGACTTTGACCCAGAGAGGGAGAGGGGCTGTATGCTGATGACCAGGGGTCAGGCTTGCAGGGTATACCCTTCGGTTGGTTGATGATGCATAGAGGGGATTGTAACCATGCCAGTGAAACAATATACAATAGGGTGAACGTAAAACTAGTGTTCTCCCACGTAAACTATCACATAATTCACAATAAAACATTAAAAAAAAAAAAAGAGTCAGTCATTTGAATAGAACAAGGGATACTGCATGGTTTAAAATCAGGAAAGGTATACCTCAGGGTTTTATCCTTTCACCAAACTTACTCAATCTATTTACTGAGCAAATAGTCCCAGAAACTAGGTTAATAGAAGAAGAATGTGGCACCAGGATTCGAGGAAAGTGTATTAACAACTTTTGCTAATCAAAAGTTGTTAATTAACTTTTGAAAGCGAAGTGAACTTGAAGCACTTTCTGTTGAAGATCCAAGACCACAACCTTCATTATAGATTACATCTCATCATAAAGAAACCAAAAGTCCTCACATCTGGACCAATAAGCAGCATTATGGTAAATGGAAAAGGAGTTGAAGTTGTGAATGATTTCATTTTACCTGGACCCACCATCAAGTCCCATGGAAGTAGCAGTCAGGAAATCAAATGTTGTATTGCACTAGGCAAATCTGTTGCATAAGATCTCTTCAAAGTGTTCAAAAGCCAAGATGTCACTTTGAAGACTAAAGTGTGCCTGACAAAAGCCATGGTGTTTTAAATTGCTTCACATGCATGCAACAGCTTAACAATGAGTAAGAAAATCCAAGGAAGAATCAATGCTTTTGGATTCTGGTGTTATCAAACAATTTTAAATGTGCCATGCAGTGCCAGCCACGATTCTCCTTAGAAATGAGGGTGGGATAATTTCTTCTCAAGTAGTTTGGACATGTTACCAGGAGGAAGCAGTCCTTAGAGAAGGGCATCGTGCTTTGTAAAATAGAGGATCTTTTAAAAAAGGAAGTGTTTCAACTAGTTGAATTGACACAGTGTCTGCAGCAATGGGCTCAAGCAGGAAAGATTGTAAGCCTGGCACAGGAATGGGCAGTGTTTTGTTCTGTTGTGCATGGGGTTGTGGTGAATCGGAACAAACTCAATGGCACATAACAATAACACGTAGTAAAAGTAAGAGTGGGCCACCACCACAAGAGCTGAGTCCAAGTATTGGATCCTCCCTAATCCTTGTGTCCATTTCATCTGAAAAATGTTGACTTCATAGATCACCCCAAGCACTGCTGAGATACGGATATGTGTTATTACTTTCACCAAAGACAGAATTGATAAAAAAAAAAAACAAAAAACTTGCTGCTCTGCTACTTGGAAGAGGAGATCAGAAAGGACCATGCTAATTTCTTCTAAAATATAAAGAAACTTTACATTGCACACCTTCAGGGTTATATAAAGTTTTTTAAAGTCTCATAACTGTGCTTCTAAAGATCCATTTCACCCACATAATGATGAAAACACGCTGTGGGTTAATGCGCCAGACTGCAAAGTCATTTGAACTGTAATGTTTGCAATTCAAGCTCACCAGCTGCTCCTCGGGAACCCTATACAGGATCGCTATAGGTCGGAATTGACTCGACGGCACTTAACAACAACAACAACAACAACAACAAATGATGAAAACAGGGAGAAAAGAAACTAAAATGAAAAAATTCTACCTTTTGGTTTCAGATACTTATTGGAGAAAAACATTTCATCTAGTTAGACTTTCCTTCTGATGAATTTATTTACTTAAAAAACATGATTTCAGAAACAGAGTTTTAGCATTTTTCCTCAATCCAGATTTCCACAAACTCTGTTCCATGATAGAGATGTTCTTCCATGCTTTTCCAGTACGGCTTTTGTGTTTAACTGATTTTGAAAAGATTGCACTGTATCACCCATAGCACACTGAGGGGTCACCTTTGTTGTTGTTGTTGTTAAGCACCATTGAGTCAGTTCTGACTCCTAGCGACTCTGCATAGGGTTTCAGAGGAGCAGCTGGTGGATTTGAACCACTGACCTTGTGGTTCATTGTCCAATGCTTAGCCTATAGTGCCACACCAGGAGTCATATCAGCATATTAAATAAACCTGAGTGAACTAAATTTACATCTTACCACCAAATTATTTGAGCATGATACATACACCTCAACAATGTCTTTAGTATTGTTCGAGAGAAAAGTATTTCATTAGCTACAAGTTGGTGAAAAACAGCAGCATTCATGCAAACTATAAGCTTTAGAAAGACATGTTGCCATTGAATCAGTTTCAACACACACCAACCCTATTGGACAGAGTAGAACTGGACTTAGCATTTCCATGGCTGCAATCTTTACAGAAGCTGACTGCCTCCTCTTTTCTCTGTGGAGCGATGGGTGGGGTTGATGGGTTCAACCTGTTAACCTTCCAGTTAGCATCTGAGCACTTAATCACGGCACCACCATAGTTCATTACAAAACTTAGGCACAGTGATCCCACAAATCTACAGGTGTAACAGGCCCCTCATTAATGACACCCACTCATGGGGTGTGGAAGGATAAGTAGTGTTCTGAGTCTCAAAAATGAGGGAATTGGAGCTTTAACTGAAGACACATGATAAGCCTTGTCAAGACCTGTTTGGCTTCTCTGTCTTCTGGGAGTGTGGCTGTGGCAACATTTGTGCTGCTCACTTATATTGCTTACCAGTAGTTTCCCCTTCCTTTTGGGTACATTGCAGGTCTGTCCTCACCCCATTGAAGGCTACTGTGGCCATGTGACTAATATTGACTCATGACATTTTAGCATCCCTGAGGCATATTGGTTCTCATGACCTCCTAGGCCATTCCACTGGTCCATCTGGCCACATACTGCTGTTGCTAAGATATGAATACCACCCAGTCCTCACATACCATACAAGTTAGGGGTCTCAAAGTCCATCCGCTGCTTTTGAGCTTCCAGAAACACAGGGATGTCGATTCCTTTGGCTGCAGAACCATAACCAAGGAACCTGGCTGGGATTTGTGTGCAGATGTCTGGTTCGTCAACACCAAACCCCAGATCCAAGAGGATCTCCACAGGATCTTTTTCCCAAAACTCCAGCCATTCGGGAATGCTGCAGTGAAAATAAGAATGGTTTTATCTAGTTCATTAAAAAAAAAAAAGAAAGCCAACTTTTTCTAGTCATCTAAATCACCTAATTTTGCAGAAATTGAGAGTATGAAGAACCTGAATATATTGACAGGAGCTCTGGTAGCATAATGGTTACGAATCGGGCTGTGAACATTAAGGTCAGCAGTTCGAAATACCAGCCGCTCCGCAGGAGAAAGAGGAGACTTTCTGCTCCCATAAAGATTTACAGCCTTGGAAACCCTGTACAGGGTCGCTATGGGTCAGAACCGGCTCGAGGGCACTTAACAACCACAACCACCACCACCACAACAACAACAATAGTCTAAAGGAGCTCAGATGGCTCAACTGCTAACTTTGAACCCAGCAGCTGCTTGGCAAGAGAGATGACTTATTCCCCAAAAGACTTGTTACACTCTATGGACAACAGAATGAAACCCTGCATGGTCCTGCACCATCCCCACCATCTTTCCTATGTTTGCGTTTAGTGGTTGATGTATACATTTGAATAACAGTGGTATTAACCGGTCTGGTCTTCCTTGTAGGTGATGGATGTTATCCTATCACAGGCAGCATTATACTTCAAGATGTTATTAAGTGCCGTGGAGTTGGTTCCAACCCATAGTGATCCTGTATAGGGTTTCCAAGGAGCAGCTGGGGAATTTGAACCACTGACCCTTTGGTTCAAACAGACCTTGGGGTCATTAGCATATACTACAGTGCCACATCAGGACTCTATACTTCAAACAGGTCTTGAAATGTTTTTTTTTTTTGATGATGAATGTGATGCCATTCCTCTACAATTTGTCATTCCCAGCATAGTAAACCATATGATTATCAGATTCAAAATAACCAATACCAGTCCATTTCTGCTCACTAGGGATAGGGAGCTCCGGTAGTGTAGTGGCTACAAGTCGGGCTGCTAACCTCAAGGTCAGCTGTTCAAAACTACCAGCCGTTCTGTGGAAGAAAGATGAGGCTTTCTGATCCTGTAAATAAACCCTCAGAAACCGTATGCAGGATTGCTATGAGTTGGAACACCACCAGGGCACACCACCACCAATGGCTTGGATATTAATCTGTATGCATTTCATTTCGTTTTTGACTACTTTGAATTTTCCATGTTCCAATTACTAGTGGATGTTACAGTTATTTCTCCTTATTTTAATTTCTGCCCCATCAGCAAATGGAATTCCTGAAAGCTTTACTCTATTCGTGTCATCACGGTCAACTCTATTTTGAGGAGGCAGCTCTTCCTCAGTCTCATTTTGAATGCTTTTTACCCTGAGGGACTCATTTCCCAGCATTATATCTAACAATATTCTGGTACTCTTCATCATGTTTCAATATTCAATATTCTGGAGCTGTCTGACAGTGTTCCACTGCTATTCATAAGATTTTCATTTGCTAAACATGGAGTCCTGGTGTGGCGCTATGGGCTAATGCGTCAGACTGCAAAGTCATTTGAACTGCAAGGTCGGTGGTTCAAGCTCACCAACTGCTCCTTGGAAACCCTACACAGGGTTTCTACGGGTTGGAATTGATTCAACAGCACTTAACAACAACAAACATTTAGAAGGAGTCTGCCTCTCCTTCTTTATCATTTGTCTTAGTTTGGAGGCTCAACTGGAACCTGTCCACCATGGATGACTCTGGTGGTATTTATAATACTAGCTGCTCAGCTTCCAGAATCATGGCAACATGCAAGCCATCACAGTACAGCAAACTGACAGATGAGTGGAGGGAAGAAATTGATAGAATTCTTCTATTTCATTATTATTGTCTTTAGCATTTGGTACAGAAATTTGAATAACAGTGGCATTAACTGGTCTTCCATGTAGGCATATGTATATTGTCCTAACACAGACAGCATTTTACTTCAAGATAAATCTTGAAATGATCCTTTTGACAATGAATGTGACACCATTCCTCTTCGATTTGTCATTCCTAGCATAGTAAACCATATGATTATACAATTCAAAATGGCCAATACCTATCCATTTTAGCTCAATAGTACTTAGGATATCACTCTTTACACGTTTCATTTCATTTTTGAAATCTTCCAATTTTCTTAAATTCATACTTTGTACATTCCATGTTCTGATTATTAATGGATGTTTGTAGCTGTTTTGTCTCATTTTGTGCTGTGTCCCATCAGCAAATGAAGGTCCTAACAACTTTGCTCTATTCATGTCATTAAGGTCCACTCCACTTTGAGGCTCTATTCATGTCATTAAGGTCCACTCCACTTTGAGGTGGCAGCTCTTTCCCAGTTATATTTTGAGTGCCTTCCAACTTGAGGAACTCATCCTCTGGTCCTGTATATGGCAATTTTCTGCTGCTGTTCATAAGGTTTTCAGGGCTAACAATTGAGCAGTCTGCCTCTCCTTACTGGAGTGTCTTAGTCTGGAAGCTCTAGTGAAACTTGTTCACCAGGGAGAACCCTGCTGGCATTTAAAACACCAGCGGCATAGCTTCCAGGATCACAGCACAACAAAAGTCACATATCACGTGATGAACATATCACATGATGAACAAATAGACAAGTGGTGACTGTAAAGATGAAGGACATGGGGCAGTTCTACTCTGTCCTGTAGGGTTGCTGTGAGTCTTGGCAAAGATTATGGTTTTTGTGTTTCTAGCTAAAGTGGAAGATAGTCTTAAAATTAATGCAATTTTTCAGCAAGTGGAGTATTTTTTATGTATTTCTTGTATGTTGTTGTTGTTGTTGTTAAGTGCCATTGAGTCGGGTCCGACCCATAGCGACCCTGTACAGGGTTTCCGAGGGTGTAAATCTTTACGGGAGTAGAAAGCCTCATCTTTACTATCGAATTTATATCTAATGACAAATCAGTCAATAAATACATTCTTGATCCTGAGTCTGTGAACCTTGGAAGACAAGGCCTATGTCTTTGTTCGTTATGGTCTTGGATGCTTAGCTCAGAGACCAGAGCATGACAAACACAATGATACATATATCGTTATGTTATTGTTGTTGTTGTTACAGTTATTTTATTGTTGTTGTTGCTTGTTAAGTACTGTCAAGTCAGTTCCAAGTCATAGTGACCCTGTATAGGGTTTCTGAGGCACGGCTGTTGAGTTTGAACTGCTGACCTTGTAATTCAAATGACATCGCACTCCAGTGCCTACCCTCCAGCACCACATCAGGACATAAACATGATTTCTACATAATTGATTTTAAGTACCCCAACTGCATATGTTCACTAAGTATTTATATAAATTAGTAGAATAAAATTTTTACAATGAGGTTGTATGATAACAGACTAAATATTTAAGGATGAATGTAGATTTCTCACAAGCAATTTTCTCTCCATTAAGCCAGTTGTATACTATGATGTGGGCCAATGTAATGAAGCAATATGGCACCTCCAATTGTCCAGTTAGTTCAAACAATTCAGATGTCCATACTGAACCATATAAACTCCATGGTAAAGTTTCTGGACTGTCTTTTTGTTGTTGATTGAATCAGAAGGCAAAGACCCAGCTCCCTGTGTCTCAAGACCTCTTTAAGGTGTTAAAGAGTAAAGATGTCAATTTGAGGAATGAGATGTCCTTATTCTAAGCCCTGGTATTTTTGATCATTTCATATGCTTGTGAAAATTGGACAATGAATAAGGAAGACTGAAGAAGAATTGATGCATTTGATTTATGGTGTTTATGAAGAATATTGATCATACATGGACTACCAGAAGAACAAACAAATCTTTCTTTCCTATGTTGGATATGTCAGGTGGGAAGAACAGTCTCTGGAAAAGGATGTAATGTTTGTTAACGTGAAGTGAAGGGACAGCAATAAAGAGGAAGATACCCAAGGAGATGGAATGACACAGTGGCAATAAGAATGGGCTCAAATATAACACCAATTGTGAGGGTGTTGCAGGACCAGGCCAGCTTTCCTTCTGTTGTGTATAGGAGCTGAGTTGATGACACCTATTGATAACAACAACAATCTTTATGGAAGCCGACTGCCACATCTTTCTCCCATAGAGTGGCTGGTGGGCTTGAACCATTGACCTTTACATTAGCAACTGGATGATCAATCACCAGGGCTCCTTTCCCCTTCGCCCATAGCATCTACCACTCCTGACCCTTTTCCTGTTAACATGATCTTGTCCTTCCTGATATTTTGCTATGCAGTTACACACACACACATACATGTGTTATAGTTTTTATTTGTTTGCTTTATAAATAGTAACATACTTTGTTATTATGTGTATCTTTTTGTGTTTGTTTTTCCCCCTCAAAAATATAACTTGAAAAGCTTTCTCTATTAGTATTTATATCTCTACCAATTTCTTTTATCACTGTATGTTGTTGTTGTGTGCTATGGAGCTGGTTCTGACTCATAGTGTCTCCATGCAGGAGGGTTTTAGAGAGCCACTGGTGGCTTTGAACTGCCACCGTTGTGGTTATTAGTACAGTGTTTATCCTACATTGCCACACCAGGGCTCTTTATCACTGTATGTTGTTGTTGTTAAGTGCCATTGAGTCTGTTCTGACTCATAGCAACCCTTTATAGGGTTTCCTAGGAGCAGCTGGTGGGTTCAAACCATTGACCTTGTGGCTCAAACCTTGCGGTCTAGTGCTTATCCTACATCACCATCCCAGCATTCCACAAAATGAATAGAACAATAGTTTATTTGGCCATTCTTCCATCAACAGATATCTAAATTGTTTCCAATTTGATTGATTCTTTTATTTTGCTCTTGTAAATTGGAGTTTAGAGATCCTCTATTCGTTCTCCCATCCATTCATTCACCAAATATTTCTTAAATGCCTATTTATAATTTCATGAATCCCGTTGTTCCACAGAATGATTTCTCTGGATGACAAGTGCTTAGAAATCACATACCTTTGTGGTATACTTGCAGCAGAATGGCAAGAGTTGAAACTGGTTGCTCTAGAAAGGGTAGGCGTTTCTGGAAATGGATGCAGAGATCTACAGTGGGGGAGAAATACCAGGAGAAGATCAATGATTATATATGTTGATTCAGCTAGTCCCCTGGGAGGTCATTGTGACGTGTTCCAGAGCAAACATTTGCATTTATTTTTTAGCTTAAAATAATCTCACAAAGGACACACCTCTAAAGAAGCAAGTGTGTGCAGCTGAGGAGCTGTTCTTCTTTCTAAGCGCATGTGTTACAGAAGGTGTGAGAATTTAGGTGTTAGGTGCCTGCTAGTGCTCATTATAAAGGTGACAGAATGTCTCACTTTTGACAGATGGCAAATCACTGGGGAACCTTTCAGGAGTGCAGCTTTGCTAGGCACCAAATTTTGGGAAGAAGTCAAAATTATGTGATGAAAAAGGTACAGTAAACAGCAACTATAGCTACTCTGCATTAATTCTCATAATGGGGAAAGAATTCCTGTTGCATGGCTAACAATCTCTAAGTAAGTGTCCTCTGCGGGGCTTATGTGCTCATCCATCCATTTGGAATGGGAACAAACTTCTTTACCACAAAAATGATTATTTGTCTATTCACATAGGCCTGAATCACAAGCTTGTTTTGTTGTTGTTGTTTATTGTAGTGAAATTTTAAGTTAGTAATGTTCATAAGAGTGGAACAGAAACAGCTCTGGCTTCAGATGAAGGAGAATAAATGTACAGTCACATAAAATCCAATTTCAGGAGCAGAAATGAGTCCTTGAAGCTAGCTTTCATTGACCTGTCAACAAAATGAGGGAAGTTCTTGGGAGAATTTGTAATCCCTTCTAGCTTCATGAGTAGCAAAAGCAATAATTGATTGTTGTTGTTACTGTTGTGTGCCTTAGAGTTGGTTCCAACTCACAGTGACCCCGCATAGGGCTTCTAAAGCTGAAATCTTTACTGGAGCAGAAAGTCTCATCTTTCTCCAGTCAAGCAGATGGTGGATTTGTACTGCTGCCCTTGTGGTTATTAACCTAACATGCAATGAACTACTAGGGCTCCTTTACAACCCACTAAGAGATAAAAATTAAGATAAGTAACATTTAAAATATAAATTTATGGGAGGAGGATGGAGATTGTACTGACTACATATTTGCTTGTCAAGTCATTAGAATTATATCCTGTTTTAAACATTTCAGGTTAATACACGTATATCTGTATGAGACGACCCATGAATAGCTCAGATGTATGTGATCAAACAAGTCTTAAAAGCAATGGAATGGTCCAGTCATGATTTTACATTTCTCATTGACCAACACATCTCCATACAATTCTCCTTTAAAATATGGTACTCAAGGTATGGGCAACTTAGGACATTGACTATTTAAAATGGGGTGGGGGGAGGGAGACTGTAAAGGCATGAAGTGACTGGCTTACAAGTTTTCAAGAGGGACTTGACCCTAAGGAGCCCTGGCAGCACAGTTGTTAAAGCATTCAGCTGCTAACCAAGAGTTTGGTGGTTCAAACCCACCTGCCATTCTGTGGGAGAAAGATGTGGCAGTATGTTTTTTTGTTTATTTTTGTAGTCTTTTGCAGCCTTGGAAACCCTATAGGGTAGTTCTACTGTGTACTGTAAGGTCACTATGAGTTGGATTCAACTTATCATTAATGGATTTGAGTGCTGAAAATGCAAGAGTGACTGAAGCATAGGAAGAATCGTTCCCAACTTCCAAGGGCTCAGAGTTGATTCCAGTGGTCTTTAAATTAGAGTGTGTGTCAGAATCTGAAAGTCTTGCCAGAATACAGACGTTTCAGCCCTATCTCCAAGTTTTCTGATTCAATGTGTATAGAGTGAAATCTGGGAATTTGTATTTCTATCAAGTTTCCAGGTAATGTTGCTGACATTGTTCTGGGGACGACACTTTGAGGCCTACTCTGTCTAAATATGAAGCTATTATCTGCTTTCTACCTAACATTGGAAAAATGTATGTATTATTGTCCAGCAACTGTCCTGCCAACATTGGCAGTGTTAAACTATGAATGCTGAATTATAGTGAAATACCACTTGTGGATATGTTGTAACTACATTTCCCTCCAAGTCAATGTTTTGTTGATTTGATTTGTTCAATCCTATTTAACTTTTAAAGAACTTCTATTTCTCTAAAGATTAGTGGAAACATTTCAGGTATTGTGGTTAAACCAGTGACTTGTCACAAAATCCCAAGATCCATGATACATGGTATTATTAATAAATGTCCTCATTTTTATTTCATTTATCAAGGATGTAGCTGTCAAACGCTGGAGTGAAATATCATGGAATCTGCTATGTACCTCATGTAGTCTTTCACAGTCATCTGAGCCATTCCTTGTTCATGCAAAAACACTGTAACAAGAAAAGAGTGAGGAGGGACAGTTAATTTTCTCTTGTCTCAAGGAAGGGCTTCTCAATCTCAGATGAACCAAACTGGGATCGATTTTTGGGTCCTAGAGTGGACACACACAAGACACAAGGCATCTCTTCTGTAGTGAACAATACAGAATATAATTAATGACTGAATTGTGTGACAAGCCCTTGAAGAATATAGGATTTGTTCATTGAAGACCGAAGCCAGAGACTAACGAAGTAGTCAGGCATGTTTCGTGGAGCGGTACTTGTCTTAAGAGTGGATAGAAATCGGTGGATGGAAAAGCTGTGAAAGAAAGAAAAGTAAGGTGTTTCTAGAATATTTGGGTTTAGCCTCTCATGGTACATAAAGTTGGGGTTCAAGGATAGGGATGGGTGTACGCAATGCATAGAGGACTCATCATCACTGAGCATCTTCCACTCATTCATATCCTATAATCTTTACAATACCCTTATAATTTATGAATTGTCCTCACTTTTCAGATAAGGAGGCTAACATGCTTATTGAAATTAAGAAGTAAGCCTATCATCTCAAAATTAAAAGAGCAGATCTGGGAATTTATCATTATGTTTATTATTAATTATAGTAAGAGTGTTGTTGTTGTTGTTAGGTGCTGTCGTGCCAGGTTTGACTCATAGAGACTCTGTGCATAATAGAACGGAACACTGCTTGGCTCTGCATCATCTGCACAATTGGTGTCATGTGTGAGTCCATTGTTGAAGCCACTGTGTCAATGCATCTCCTCGGAGATCTTCCTCTTTTTCACTATCTCTCAACTTTTCCAAGTATGATGTCCTTTCCTCCTAATAGCACGGCCAAAGTATGTGAGACTTCCATGAATGTTGATTGTGAATCCGAGTAAAATGAAATCTTTGGAAACTTCCATCCCTTCTCTGTTTATCGTGATACTAGCTTTTCGTGCAATAGCGAAGAATTTCTTTTTCTTTTCTTTTTGCATTGAGGTGCAATCCATACTGGAGGCTGTATTCTTTGATCTTTATCAATAAGTACTTCAAATTAGAAAGGTAGTGGTTGTGTGCCTTGGAGTTGATTCTGACTCACAGAGACCCTGTACAGGGTTTCTGAGTTTGGAGCTTTAGTAGCATAGTGTATTATGCATTGAACTATTAACCACGAGGCCAGCTGTTTGTATCTACCAGCTGTTCCTCAGAAACCCTATACAGGGTCACTATGAATCAGAACTGACTCGAAGGCATTTAACAGTAGAGTTTCTGAGGCTGCAAATCTTTATAGGAGCAGGAAGTCTCATCTTTCTCCTGTGGAGAAGCTGGTAGATTCGAACTGCTGACCTTGTGGTTAGCAGCCCAACTCATGATCCACTAGGCTACCAAGGCTTCTTTCAAGTTACAATAGTTATCATTTATTTAGCATGTACTGTGTGAGAGGCAAGTTGTGTGCACAATCTCTCTTAATTCTTAAAACAAATTCATGAAGTAGGTACCATCAATCCTTATTTAACTGAAGTAAAAACTGAGACTCACAAAGATTAAGTAAATTTCCCATGGCCCCTAGGGTGCTGCAACTCATTTTTCTTTTTCTAACATCCCTCTGCCAAGCAGAATGTCTTAAGACTTGCTTGAAAGCCAGGAAGTGGAATTCATACATATAGATAAGAAAATGGAAAATGATAAAAGGCTTTTGAACATATGAGTAAATGGGTTAAAGTGATTCTGAAATCCATGTGACCAAAATGTTGGGTTCAGTAGAGAAATCCCACAACCACATGAAACCTTTGCAAACTTCTAATAATGTGGATAGATTAAAAAGGGAGCTCTGGATAAAGAAGTCTTCTATTTAGTTTTTCTGACATTCCATGAGGACCCGCTAGGATCTAGAGTTCAAAGAGTATCTATCATTCTAGTCAATGCACAAATCTCTCGTCTAGGTCAGCATTCTTAATGCATTGCAGCATCTTGCTCACTAAATTGTATGTAGTCTGAGAGCTTCTCAAGCTCATGAAGTTGGTGTCGATTGATTGAAGTTGTCACATGAGAGAAAACCTATTTGCCACCCGATTAGTCATGTTATCAATGTAAGTACAATATAATCTTTGGCAATTATGTTGTAATGACTTGATGCCCTGATAAAGCAAACAATAAGCTGTCCCAAATAGAAGGTAAAGTAAGTATTTGTTATTTTAAGCACAAGTTTTCCATTTTCACCACCACCACCTCCAATGACTGCTCTACATAGAGTTCACAAAGAAAAGTTCATTTGTGCCTGGCTTAGCTAATCTGGAGAATTCTGGGGCATTTACGAGGGCCTCTCTTCTTCTAAAACATTCCATCATTCTAGGACACTTGGTTGCTTATTCTATCAATTCCTTCACTTTTTTTTAAAGTTTGTATTGTGAATTGAGTGATAGTTTACATGGGAGAACTTGGTGTTACACTCATTGTTTCATTGCAATGATAACAACTCCATACCATCACTTCTTACTCATTGATCCAGTCTCTTCTGGTAGTCTGTTATCACTGTGGGTGTGAACGATTGTGTACAGTCTAAGCCAAGAGCCCAAGCTTCATTGTCGTCACAGTGAGTTGCTCAAACTGCTGGAAAGGAAATTATCAATTTTAGATATTGAAGAGAAGAATTGACTCAGTCTTCCTGAGTTTTCAAAAATCTTGGTGCTGCAGAAAATCTAGGCATCCAGAAAAATCTGTAGACCTTACCCAGGGCATCTTCATGGGATTTTAGTGCTGGCACAAAGTCAGTGCTCATGTTCCATGGATCACACCCTTATCCCTGCCACTGTTTTATTCAAGAGCAATCTGGTTACCAGGAACCCAAGGGTGGCCTCTACGGATAATGTGTGTTTTTATCAAGAATATCTAACACGGACAGGAGTGGTCACAGCGGAGGGTGTTCTGGTCTGATAGCACATATAAAATTCTTACTGTAGTTTTAGCAATAGCTGAAGAAAAAGGCTTTCTTACTTCCCTCAGTGCACTTCCTCTGAGGACTATTAAGAGTGGAAGGAATCCTGGGATCGCTAGATGGTGCAAACAGTTAATGTGCTTGGCTGCTACCAAAAGCTTGGCTGTTCAAGTCCACCCAGAGGGCCTTAGAGAAAAAGGCCTTCCAAAAAACCAACCACTGAAAGCCCAGTGGATCACATTTGTATTCTGACACACATGAAGTTGTCATGAGTTGAAGCCAACTGAACAGCAACTGATATCGGTGCCCCAGAATCCAACCCTTGTTGGCATACAGCATTTGACAGCCATTAGTAAACCACTTTATTTTTTCTTCTTGATCTTGCTTAAAATGACACCATTATCTCTCTATGCCCAACACATTTACACATACAAGCTTCTCTCCCGCCACACTTAGATTTTGTGAGATGCATTTAACTCACAGATAATCCTGATTTATAAAATTATTAAGAATGAATTGGTTTTGCTTATTGTTTGCCATTTTATATTCCCGACTCCCTAGATCCTGGAAGACAGCATTAATGAGTGTCTGGAAACCAGTGGCTGGTACAAATAGTGAACCATTCAACTACTAACCAAAAGTTGGCAGTTTAAACTCATCCAGAGGAAGCTTAGAAGAAGTCATGGTGATCTTCTTAAGAAAAACCTATAGAAGCTTGCTTTTATTCTCCAAAATTTGACATCAATTTGGGTGTTCACTTGATGTTGCAGAAGCAGGCATTTACAGTATTGAGACCCAGAGCGTTGGAATTTTTGCAAAAACCCAAACCAAACCCCTTTCCTCGGGTCAGTTATGACTTACAGAGCATTGCTAAATTATTCTTTGTCTGCTGGAGGGTTTTCCTATTTTGCTCATTTTTAAAGTAAGCTCCCTGGAGTCTCAGGCAAGTTTGCTGGAGTCTGGTCCTTCCTTTCTTTTGCCTGGTTCAGTAAGGAACCAAAACCAAGAACACAAGCTGGTGACCCACAGTGTGCCAGCTCTTACAGGCCCTGAAATTCCTCGACTTCTTTACAACTTGGGAGATCAGCACTGCTACCCAGTTCTCGGTCTGTTCAAGGCAATGTGCTCTCTCCAATTTTCCACAGACCCTATCCTGCTGCTTGCTTCCCTCAGTAGTAGTTAGCTGTCTTGCCATGGAAAGTGGTTGTGTTGGCTAACTTTGCAAGAATTTCAAGCCTAGAGAATGACACAGTGGGACAAACAGACTGTTCCCATTACCCTACATTTCCTCAAACTTCTATAGGCATAAGTCTTGGTAGAAGGTGTGGGTGTGGTTACGTGCTGTGGAGTCGGCTTCAAATCATAGCAACCCTATATAGGGTTTCCAAGGTTATAAATCTTTATAGGAGCAGAAAGCCTCATCTTTCTCCTGTGGCTAGCTGGTAGATTGAAACTGCTGACCTTGGTGATTAGTAGCCCAACTTGGTATAAGATAGAAGGTGAAAACTTTATAGATTTACCTGCATTCTGCTTGAAGCCTGACTCATTAAGCCCTCCTCAATTCCACACTTGCTGCTCTATTTAGTTACTTTCTCCATTTCTTTCTTTTCTTCTATTATGCCCTCATTATGTTTTTAAAAGCATATTTTGCTCTCTAAAAGCATTGGAGGAGGGAGAGAAAAATCAGCATGTAGTATTTTCTAAGGCCTTTAACCAGCTGCCATCTAGTTGACAAAGACTGGTGGCTACCCCATGTTTGTGAGAGTATATCTCTAAAGGGCTTTCAGTGGCCTATTTGGAGTCCCATTGTGGCATTGGACTGCTAACCACAAGGTCGGTGACTCAAACTTACCAGTCGCTACTTGGAAACCCTATACACTATGAGTCAGAACTGACTTAACGACACTTAACAACATTTTTTTTTTTTTAAATTTTTTATTTTTTAGAAGTGGCTCATCAGGACTTCTGAGATCTGCCAGGGCAGATTACAACCTCCAACCTTTCAGTTAGCAGTTGAGTAGGTTAACCATCTGCATGACCCAGGGACTCCTTCTAAGATCCTCTTAAAACACCAAACAAA